GGTAGAAGTCGAATAAGGAATTTATAAATATTAATTTTGCCGCGTTGCGACGCGCGTTCACCTGTCATATGACGAGAACAACCACTATCAAAATACCAATCAGAGTTGGATGTGGATTTCAAAGCAAGTATGGAGGATAAACAGAGGTTCTTACGATCCTTAGGAACCCAGATCTTTTTCTGTTCATGGTTCACTATATCAACTTTCAGTTTGGGAGCTTTCAAAGGAACACCATGAGGACTCCAGTCATTAATTCGTCCCGTATAAATATCATTGTGCATTCTATAGCATTTGGGACGAATATGACCCCGAATCCCACAATAGTGACAAACGGGTACAAAGTTCTTACCAGTATTCTTGAGCTGAACCTTTGGTGAGTGTGACTTACCTTTCTTGGAGTCAAGTGAGTATCCTTCTTTAACAAACGTTAGATCAGCCTTACTCAGTGAAGAGCTTGATTCTCCAATCTTTCCTTTCATTTTCTGATTCTGAATATTCTTACTTGGATTGGATGAACCAATCTGCTGACTCAGTTTTTGAACTTCAGCATATGAGGACTTCGGCTTGTTGATCATCCGAACAACTTCTTCACTCTTCTTCAGTCTTTCTTCAAGTGTAGAACAGTGACTTCGAAGTACCACATGTTCCTCCATTACCCGACGAAGTTCCTCCTTAAGAACCATGATTTCAGCTTCTCTTTCTCCGGCAAGACTTTGAACAGCAAACAGTTCGTTGCGCAGAGATTCAATGGTAAAACTCTGTTCTTCACGGGCCTGCTTGTTGAGTTTATCGCCGTGCTCAACCAGTGCTAGCTTCGCAAAACAACTGTTTAGGTCCTTGTCCTGTTTACCAATGTGAAGGTCTGATTTGATGAGCTTCTCGTTCAAGTCAACAGTCATTACCCTCATCTTCTGAAGCTCATTCCGAAGATACTCAATCTCTTTTTCACGTTCGGCATAACGTGACTCCACTGCCTTCATCTTCTGTTTTTGAGTCTGGTACTTGTTGATGATATCCCTTGCCTTGAGACACTTTTCAATGGCGTACTTGTGAAGTACCAGGTTTTCGGCAGCAGGGTCTGAGAACTCATCAGAGTCTACCTCGCTCAAATTTTTCGCGTAAGAACCTGCATCCGATTCAACATCAGTTAGATGAACAGAAGAAGTAAAGCAGTTATACTCATTAAGAAGACATTTAGCAGAATTATTAGAGTAGTTAGAGTTCTCAGTCATCTCAGGTTCGTCCTCCTCGTCGTCACTGGAGTCGGACCATGTAGCCTTGAATGTCTTATTCTTCTTCTTGAAATTAGGACACTCCTTTTGAAAGTGGCCAAATCCCTTGCATTCTCGGCATTGGTCTTTTTCTACTCCTTGGTTCCCATTCTGAGGCTTGTTAAATTGCATGCCAGACTTCCTTTCACCAAACTGCTGAATTTGGTTTCTGCCGCCTTCAAACGACCTGTTTCCCTGAAGTCTCCTTTTCTGAAATCTCTTCAACTTTGAAACATTTTTGGTAAGCACGCTGAGAGCCTTTGTGATTTCGTCAGGATAAAAAAACTCTTCATCGGATTCATCATTCTCAGCAACTGTGGTACGAACCTTGGCCTTTAGCGCAAGACCTTTCCCTTTGCTTATCCTCATAGAGTCAAAGCCATGGTTGATTTCAAATGTGCGAAGTTCACTTAGAAGGTCATCGATGCCAAGCTTCTGAATCCTTTGAAAACTTTCTAGTGCAGTGATTTTAATCCCAAATCTGTCCGGAAGGGTTCTCATTAGTTTCTGCACTTGTCTAGCTTCTGGAACCGGCTCACCCAGCATTGCACTTTGGTTAACCAGATCACAGAACCGAGCATAATACATGTCAATGGTTTCATCCTCCCTCATACGAATCTCATCAAGTTCAGTTGAGACTCTTTGGAGTTTTGATGTCTTAACAGCATTCGTACCTTCGAATTGTCTCTCTAAGATCCTCCAAGCTTCTTGAGCAGTCGTGCACTGGATTATTATTTTGTGCCGGGTGGGATCTACTGCAGACATAATGGCATATAAGGCTCGAAAGTTAGCCTCTTCTGCTTGCCTCTCATCGTCGGTCCAGATGCTCCTTGGTTTCTCAACCAATACTTTGGTGGTTGATGACTTCCCATCCGATGACTCACCACCCTTAGTTTCAGCAGGAACTTTTTCTTGAAGTGGTAAAGTCCAACCATTTTCCACCGTCTGCCATGTTCCTTTACCAAGGGATCGAAGGAAGATCACCATCATTGATTTCCAGTACGAGTAGTTAGAACCATCAAGAAACGGAGGGCGCGTAACAGACATCCCATCATGACTCATGGTGCCCGATACACAGTCCCACAGATCTTTATCCCGTAATTAGAACAGGAACACTGCTCTGGTGCCAATTGAAACGTACAATTATCACGGAGTGCGCTTATTGGTGGTACGAACTGAAATAAGAACTGAATAATGCGGAAGCAATAAACCGAAGATTTTAAAACTCTTCAGGGAAGCATCCCACTTCCCCTCAGAGCTCTCTTTCATTGATAGATCAAACATACACATAGCTTGGACTTACAACGACTCGAACTCCCTTCAAGCCTAGCCAACACTACACAGATCCTATCAACTAATTCTCCGGCCACGTCCCGTGGACTTTTAAAAACCTACACTTACTCCCTAAGTGCATAAGCTGTAAAATAGTTTTTGGATGAAACACAAAGAACAAAATAAAATAGCTTCAGTCCTTGAGCTAGTTCAAACTCTCAGACTGAACTATGTTCAACTCAATAAAAACAGAATACACGAAGCTCAATTATTGCTCTATATATCTTCAAAACTCAGCAGCCGCAATGAGAGCTTGCATACGGGTATTTAAAAGAATCTCCTTAGGGTTGGAGTCTTCTACAAGGCATGGGACTCCAACCTTGATTTCCTTCCTTGTTTATAGCATGAGAATATGGTAAGTGAATCTTCTTCTCTCTCTCCTTGATCTCTTTATCATACACGCCTCTCCCTTCATTATCTCATCCGATTTCCTACAAGTCAAAGTACCATAATAAGATCCAGAATATCTTATTTATGGAATATAAAATAATCGTAATTAAGGAAACAAATAAGCAAAGATCTTCCCTGTTTCTGTAGTTCCAGGTGCTTGTTAGAACCTTCGAACTAATGCCAAAATAAATATCTTTCATATTTTTACTACGTATTCATTTATAATTAAATCTTTCTTTGTCCATAAATATATATATATATATATATATATATATATATATACTTTTTCATTTTAATATTTTAGAATGACGCAACATTCTTTAAAAAAATATTATATCCAACACAAATGTTGTTAGATTATTGTTCAATAAATATAGTACTTTCTTAAGAAAAATTTATTTATGTTATATTATCAATTTATTTATACTATATTTTAAATTATAGTAATTAAGTATAAAATTATATATTTATTTAAATAGCATGACTCATAATACGGGTATAACCTGAGTTGAATGGAGCTCGAATTATTTATTTATTTTTTTTTTTTTTTTTGGGTACAGAGCTCGAATTATTTATTAATATGAACAAACCGAACATGAGCTGATAAACGAGCTCGAATTAGTATTTAAGTGTTACTGCTTATACAATTACCCGTGTTCACTCAAAAAAAAAATAAAAAAATAAAAAAATCGGCCCTTAAATAACAATTTCATTCAATTAAATTAAATAATCAAAATCCAAAAGCGCTTGCATGAGATGGCTTGGGTCTCTTCCAACTTAACCAGTGGTCTCGAGTTCGAGCCCTGGGAATGCAGCTGTATTAAAACTTTTGAGGGAGAGCTTTGCCGTCCTTGTAGTCCATCCGGCTCGATTTCGAATTAGTCGGTTCCCCTGTGAATCTAGAAACCGGAAGGTCGCTGTACCAAAAAAAAAAAAAAAATTAAATAATAAAAAATTTGAATCATAACATTTGTCCCCACTCCCACGAATCAGTCGTGTGGTTGACGCGCAGTCCCAATTGCAGACACGAACCCTGCAAATCCCATTTGGGCCTTTTTGACGGGTCAAATTTCTCTTCACTTGCGTTTATACTTTATAGCTCCCCCATTTCACCCTTCCCTTCGACTATCTCTCCACCAGCTAGCCTCTCATATCCTCTCACCACCGATCTATTTCCCTGCAGGGCGGCGCGTCTGCTGCGCTCTCCTTCGTGAAATCGAACAAATAACCTGCAAATGGGCCAAGCCGCCTCCACCCACGGCTATTCCCCCGGCGGGTCGGCTCGTTTTCGAATCCCCAGCTTCGACCTCCACCACGCCCACCCCATGGCCGGCAACCCCCACGCGCCGGAGGTAATCTTTGCTAAACAGCCGCAAATTGACTACACGTCCGAGATCCCCGACGAGTGCCTCGCCCTGATCTTCCAACCGTTGAGCTCCGGTGACCGGAAGCGCTGCTCGCTGGTATGCCGCCGCTGGCTCGCCGTGGAGGGCCAGAGCCGCCAACGACTCGCACTCAACGCGTCAGCGGAGGTCGCCGAGCACCTCCCGGCCGTCTTCACCCGGTTCGACTCCGTCACCAAGCTCGCCCTCCGCTGCGACCGCAAGTCCGTTAGCATAAACGACGACGCACTCACCCTGATCTCCCTGCGCTGCCGCAACCTCACCCGACTCAAGCTCCGCGGCTGCCGCGAGATCTCCGACCTAGGTATGCTTGCCCTCGCCACCAACTGCAAATATCTTCGCAAATTCTCCTGCGGATCGTGTATGTTCGGCGCCAAAGGCATGAACGCACTTCTGGAAAACTGCTCCTCCCTGGAGGAGCTCTCCATCAAGCGGCTTCGGGGCCTCAACGACGGGTACGCGGCCGAGTTGATCGCCCCCGGGGTAGCGGCTTCGTCTCTAAAATCAATCACACTTAAGGAGCTCTACAACGGTCAGTGCTTTGGGCCTCTAATTATTGGATCCAAAAATTTGAAATCCCTGAAGATTCTGAGGTGTTTGGGTGATTGGGATCGATTGCTCGAGACCATCACCAGGGGCAAAAGCTCTCTGGCCGAGATTCATCTGGAGAGGCTGCAGGTGAGCGATGCCGGCCTATTTGCAATTTCAAAGTGCCCAGATTTGGAGGTCTTTCACTTGGTGAAGGCTCCCGACTGCTCAAACGATGGAATTATGGCCATTGCCGAGAACTGTAGGCTTTTGAGGAAGCTCCATATAGATGGGTGGAGAACGAACAGGATAGGTGATGAAGGTTTGGTTGCCATTGCCAAAAACAGCACGAATCTTGTTGAATTAGTGCTTATTGGTGTAAACCCTAGCTCCGTGAGCTTGATGGCTATGGCTTCCAACTGCCACAAGCTGGAGAGGTTGGCTCTTTGCGGGAGCGAATCCATTGGGGACCCTGAGATCGTGTGTATTGCGGCTAAATGTAGCGCGCTAAAGAAGCTGTGCATAAAGGGTTGTCGTGTGACAGATACCGGGATCGAGGCTTTCGCGTTCGGGTGCCCTAATTTGGTGAAGATCAAGGTCAAGAAGTGTAGGGGAGTTACTAGTGAGGTTGCCGAATGGCTTAGGGCAAGGAGGGTGACTTTGTCCGTGAATTTGGATGCGGACGAGATAGAGCCTGAGGCCCTGAATGCCAGCACGAGCGACGGGAGTGTGCAGGAATACGGTATCGAGTTCCCAGCCGTGGTGAGTGGGCCTGTGAATGTGGATGCTCCATCGACGAGTAATGGGGCCCGTTTGCCTAATAAGTCGAGGTTTAGCATGTTCGTCGGGACTCTTGTGGCCTGTGCCTTCCGGAGGCTGTCGGGTGGTAACGGTATTCGAACAGTAGCTTGTGAATGGGGAAAAAGAAGAAATGTGGGCTAAAGGTCAGGAAAAATAGTGTTGACCCTCTTGTTCGGGTTTCTTTGTGTTTTTGTCTTTTGTGTGTGCTGTGATTTGGGTACGCCGTGTTTCGTCTTGCTGTTATTGTGTTGATTGGGTTTAAGGGTGCTGTTGTATGTAAACTGGCGACCACTTCAAAAACGTGCACATTAAGGTCCCTTTCTTGTTTTCTCTTTGTTTTTAGACAATTTGCCTTCTTTCTATGTGTGATGAGTTGATTCTTTGAGTTATTAGGAGTGAGTTAATGTTGTTTTGTGTGATGCCTTGTTTATTTCTTGAAGGTGTGGGTGATTTTCTTTTCTTTAATTCTTTGGTTTTCTATTTTCACCTCCCTAACTGTTGATACTATTAGATTGGCAAACTTGTTTGAGACGAGAAATTTATTCTGCTTGATGCCATTTCACCTGAAGGCATACCGAAATTTCATGCTGGAGATACTTGCTGTGCAGTTAGTTCTATTTGTCTAATTTCTTGAATTTCCTATGTCTGCTGACAGAAGGCGGTTACTGGTTTTTTCAGTTATGTACTTATTGTATTTGGTGTGACAGCAATATGTGGGTCATATTATTTGAATAGTAGAGATTGCTGTAGTTATTCTGCCACATATTCTGTGATTGCATTGTTAGTTGATTTGAGTGATTCTCATAATCCCATTGACTTTGAACCAGTCAGTCCATGAGGCTTCACTTAAGCTGGTCCTCTATGGAATCTTCTTAAAGCATGATTATATTATGGACTATTCACAAAGAAGACCTTGTTGACAATTCTAGTGCTTCTCCTAGCATAGTGCTAATAATGAACCAGATCAAAATAGCTCAATTAAATTCTAGTGCTTCTTCTATTAGTAAAGTTTCTAGAAAAAAAAAAAAATATCAAACGACGCAACGCACCTTGGGTCGCTGTGGAAACAGCCTCCTTGTATAATTACAAGGGTAAGGTCTGCGTACAATTGACCCCCCAGACCCCAACTTTAACTTGTTGGGAATATACTGGGTATGTTGATGTTGATGTGATGATGTCACAAAGAAGACCTTGGAATGTCTTTACAGTTACATGAGCATCCCTTTAGGTGGTTTTATTCCTGTCTTACACTTGTCCTGAGAGGAATCGATCGACTGTAATTATTACAATTGCGTTCCTCAACTTTTCTGAGCTGTCCTTCGGTTCCTACCTTGTTTTCTATAGAAACTTTACTGCATTCTTGAATGCAATTATACATGCTTGTTTTGATTGAATTATTCACTTCGTTTGTGGCTATGACATTTGATTTCTCTGACTATGAAGCTTGGGAGACTGAAATCGCTTCAGATTAATTTGGATTTATACATCATACACAAGCGTATAGTCTTGTGTATAATTACAAGGTAAGGTCTGCGTACAACTGACCCTCAAGACCCCAACTTGTTGGGAATATACTGGGTATGTTGATGTTGATGTATGTACACAAGCGTATAGTCTTGGTAAAGTAGACTCAATCGAGGCTAAAAAAAAAATAAAAAAAGAGGGGGGGG